AACCACCTGGGCGTTCTCCTAAGAAATCGCACGTTTTTGTAGTGGTGAATCCAAAGCAAATGAAAATGGCGAAGCAGTGTGCTATGCATGGAGGGCAAAAATTTACCGAGCTATAAATACATCGTGTTAAAAGAATCAAAAGATTTAGATTACAAGGAATTTAACCAGAAAAATCAGGAAAGTCCGCGAAAAAAAAAACCGTATAAAATTTTACGGCATGGAGCGGAGCTTAGTTTTAACATGTAGTAAGCATCGTGCCTTCAAATATTTGCCAATAAATATGTATGTGTCTGTCCGTGTAGGTCTGTGCTGTATTATACATGTATGTATGTACACGTGTGTATGTAATTATGTATATATATGTGTGTGTGTGTGTGTGTCTGGATCTGCTCTGCTGGTGTAATCCTGGAGCAAAGCAATAGGGGTAGTCATGGAACAGCGGATACGTTGGAGTGATGACAAATAAATATGTTTGCACGAACATACACGTACCCATATACACAGACACATGCAAACGTACAGACGCACACACACACACACACACACACACAAAGACACACACACATACGAAATGCACATGGCCAGCTTCATTTTCCATGGGCAGGGTCAGCACAGCAAATGCTCATGTCTGTTTTCGTGCAATTTTCTCAATAGCAGAGCGCATTAGCGGCAAATTTTAACTAATAAAAATATCGATGATAAAATTTATAGAATATAAAACATTAAAAAAATATATAATCAGTTTAAAAGGAATGTTTCGGTCCATTAAGTCGTATATGTTTCTGTTCGGCATTACAACTGGACCTCGCCAGTACGACAGTTGTGGTTTTGATAAATTAAAAGTGTTAAGTGAGAAGAGTGTAAAGGGATAATGTGAATCTAAATGTGTATAATAAAGTAAATGTGACACGAGTAAAATTTGTGGCACTCTTGTTACCACATTTTGCGATTCGTAGCATAGCCAGAATTTTGTTCAGGGAAGTATTTTTCAAAGGGTTGAGAATATGCGATAAAACAAAGTGGGTGGTGAATTTTCAGATTTTGACAAAAAATGCACAAAAAAACCTCCAACCTTAGAAAATTCATGGCGTAGTTCCGTACATTCATCAAAAAATTCATTAAAGACACAGTTTCGGCATAAAATTTACATGTTGCGTTGCAGTCAGATGTGCACCAAATCTTTCATCAAACAATTCAACAAAGTCTCAGTTCTGATGCCTGAAATTTGCATGTTGCGTTGGAATTAAAAGGTAAGCTGAGAGCAAATCAAAATCATTGTATCATCTTCTAACCAAAGAACATCGGCGGCCGCACACTCACTCCAAGGTTTTTCAGAAAATTGCTGCATATGCGGCTGTTTCTTGCCATAATTTATCAATTGGGCTTCCTCATGGCCAATTCTGTGCTTAAATCAAATTTGCTATGCCATTCTAGTGCTGCACCTACTTCGATTCTTTGATGAAACCGGCTACTTTCTCAATTAGGGAACCGGCTACTTTCTCAATTTCTTTGATCTGAGCAAAACCCGGAAATACACGCAAGAAGAATTTTTCACCATTATTGTGGCAAAAAAGTCATACAAATCGTCTAGTCAAAGTATAAATTTCAGCTTAAAAAAAGAAAAAAAAGAGACTTATGGGAATGACGGGCGACGCAGTGGGCAAATCAGTCTCGGATACTGAAATTGAGAACTTCAAGCCAACAATTGCATCATTCAGCGATGTTGGGCCGGAGCTTCGCAAAGCGCTCTACGAACACAACAATCATGCAATTGAACAAGAATTTCTGGATGTTGAAGCAAAAGTTGGCATGAAAAGAGAACATGTATGTTGTGAATAAAATTAGTAACAATGATACCTTGAAGCAATAATCACTGAGAGAATAACAAAGAGGAACACACAACATACTTGCTTTGATCAACTTCCATCATATTTTATCATTACTGTTCTCGGCACAGATGTGTAGCTAGCAACTTCTTTATCCTATTATTTTGGGCTTTTCTCATCCACATAATCCCACACAAGGTATTTAGGTGCACCCTTTAATCACAGTGATGATTTCCCTGGGTTTTTTTAAAACTGTGCAGTTATCAATCAACAATTCTCCTTGTCCGCCTACTGTCTCTTGTCGTTGCCCACATTCCTGACATACAC